TAAGGAACATAGCAGTAGGTGGAACTGCAATTGACTAAGTGATCTTCCATATATAAACAACATGAATATGCAGTTAAATTAATATATATGTATGTGCATATGAATGTAAACATCCCTTTTTGTGAAGCATATGTGTGAAAGTTATTGTATCTGCTCTTTGGAATACTGCTTCTGGCAAAAGTCCACTTTCTGACACACTGTAGTCAGTTGCAAGTAAGCAATAAAAGCACACTGCTATGTATTAATTAATATTAACTTCTGATATTTTAGGTTTGTGTATCATGAAGATGGGTGGGACTCTGATCAAAAGCTCTCAACATGAAGCATAGCCCTACCCCACTTTTTCCAAGTATTACAACCAGATATATAGTAGAAAAGCTAACAGAAGTTGTGTGTTTATTTATAACATATTTATTAGAAATTAAATGAGGTAATTTTCTCTCTATACACTTCACTAGTTAGCCCTTACTTGAAACACTATGTACAAATTTTGTCTTCATATCTAAGAAAGGATATTGTTACTGGAAACAGTGGAAGGAATTCAAAGGAGGGCTACTAGTATTGCTCCATGGATTTAAGGGTTTTCTAACAAGAATAGGTTAAGATTTCTTAACTTATTTCTCATGAGAAAAGATGGGTAAGAGGTTAACTCATCAAAATTTACAAGATTATACACAGATTGATAAATTAAAGGCTTCTCGTTTCTTTGTGCTACATTCTAAAAATAACAGTATGAGAGGACACAAGTTTAAGATTTTCAAACAAACAGCCTAAGCTCCACTTAGCACAGTTTTATTTTTCTAACAGGGAAACTGACTTATGGAATGAGTTGCCATTAGCAGAAGTGGAAGCCAACACTTTACAAGAGTTTAAGACAGGTATTGATGATTTCCTCAAAAAGTAAGGTGGGTCTAGCTTTGTACTTTTACCAAGGGTGGGTGCACAAGGATAGCCTTGAAGTTGTACATACTACATGTATGCCTATACATCTCAGCCTTCCCACTTTCAAGTTCAGAAACACTGCTTATAATTTATACATCTCAAACTTACGTCATTTATTCCTAAATTTCTCTTTCATATCTTTTGTAAGCCAATTACATTTAATATTTCCTGTTGTCCTTTTTTCTATTAAAAAACAAGGAATATGCCTATCATGATCTAAAAACAATATATTTTTTAGGATTTTCTGAATCTGTACCACATCTCTCTTTAATTCCTTCTCACAATTTACTTATAGTAGAGAATAACCAATTGATGACCTAAGGCAGATTGGTCAAAGAGGCTTTCTGTTATCTTTCTGTCATTCATGAATAAGACTAACTATTATTAATGAACTTTTATAGAATACTTTTTAGAAACTATTATGGTAGAAGTTACTAAATAATTGTCTCATGGCCTCATGATTGGCTTTCTGAAAATTAGGGAACAGCATTTCCTTTCTTTTTTTATCTCAACAAGTAGCAAAACAAAACCTAATTATGCAATGAATAATCTTCCCTCATTTCAACTCTTGCATGAATGTCCCTTTTTTTATTGGTTAACAATAAACCTAACATGGAATCACCCATGGATGGCTCTTTTACCATTTGATCTATGAAATCATCTTAAATCACATCACAAAATCTCACTCTCACTATTTGACTCCGGACAATCCCAATCAATGTGTCTAAAATTGAACTTTTCCAGTACTGTTAGATTCATATTCTTATTAGTAGCAATTCTAATCTCATTTGTCTGATAAGGTAGCCCATAACAATTGCTAATTACAGTTTTCTATCCATGAAACCATTGATTGTAACCCAAAAAAGATTCAACATTTTGACTACTATTTTTCTACCTCTTTTTTAACTGGCTGCATTTCATCCTTTATACAGATCCATGCAATCCACCTTTTTATTAAAAAGTCTATCACTATTAATAACTTGCATCCTAAATATTAAGGTAATTCTTATTATAAATTTTCCCCAAATCTAAGTAAGTTTCAGTAACTCTCATTATATCATAGGCTTGCATTTCATCTAAAGCCCTGAACTCATCTATTTTGCTTCTAATACTTTTTAACTTTAGAATCAACTAAGTTTATCTTTGAATCTGACACTTATTTTTAAAACTTTTATTTAACTTATGTTCTGACCTTCTATTTCAAAGTTCCTCATTGGCTTAGTTATTATATCAATTTGTTTATTCCTCATTTCTCATGCTCCTCACTAATATACAAGTTTAGTTCAGTGTATTTGTTATGAATATATTTACTTCCCCCAAACTAGCTAACCCCTCTCCTGACTTCGGCTCTCACCAATGTAGTTAATATGGCCAAACTTTCCAGGCTGCTGTGAGGCTAATGTTGCTTGTTTGGCAAAAGCACCAGAATGTCTTCCAACTCAACTCCAACAGACAGTTGATGATGACTATCTAACCTGCCTAAATGGATCCCATACTTCCCCTGGAAAGTATCCCACAAGTCCAACCAGCCCACCTGTCGCTCTATCCTAAAGGAGCACTCCTGAAACAACCATATGTCTATTTCTATGTCTAAATCTCTGAAGGAATTTTTAAGCAGCTCATATAACTTACAATTTCCAACATCATTCACTCCTGTATGCATTACAAAAAAGGAATGTCTGTTGATACCATCAACACATCTATAACGACCTGTACTTTAACACCATGCAAACAAATTCTAGCCCTATTCTGTCTATGCTCTTCACTACAAATAACTATTAGTATATCTAATGAGAAACCTCCACTACATAAACTTCATAATCATCATATTTCTAACTGCAAGTAACAATCAAAAGAGGAGGAAAATAATATGACCAAAGTTATAATTTTTTGTGTTTTTACCAATGATGAAAAAAAAATCCAATTTAAAATGGTTCCTTTATAGACAAGTAGAATTTGCTCTTGAAGTTTATGCTTGTTGGAAAAAATTATGGAAGATCTAGGAGAACTTTAAGAATAAAGTTCTTAGCTCTGATAAGACTTGTCTCAAATAAATAATAATTGAACATCTCAAGACATTTCTAATCATATTTCCATCATAATAGAAATAATTTTCCTCATCTTGCACCTGTTTCTTCAATCTCTTGCAATTCATCTTAGAACAGGATTTCCAAACACCAGAACAAACAAATAATGTACAAAAGGTGTTCTTGTCCAGAAAAGCCCTAACAAAAAACATTTCAACACTTTGATAAGACATGGAAACTCATTTTCTAAATTCAACATGAAAATATTTCTTGTTTATAATTGAAATATACAACATGTTGTCCAGAATGGGCCTTAATAGATTTTTCAGGGAATGTTCCTAGCATTTTTAATTTTGAGAGAGAAGCAATATCAAAGTTAACTAAGGGTAGCAAAGTTTTTTCTTAAATTCTATGTTTGAAAAGAAGTAGCTGTCATAATAAGTCTAAAACACTTTATTAAAAAAAATCCTACAGGCCCTGATACAACTTATGCTATAACTATGAATAAGCTTTGCAGAGTTAGTAAGGGAAATTTACTATTATTTTTCAAGTTTTTTTAACACCCGGGAAATTTCTGATTTTTGTAAGATCCCTATTTTTAATACGAAAGGATCAAGGTAGTTTCTAGGAATTACAGACCAATCACTTTGAATTCTGTTATTAGCAAGGTTTGAATATCTATTTTCAAAAGTAATTTAGAAAAGAAAATGGAAAGTCGGCATTTCAATGGCTATTCTGAACATTCTTTTTTGTGTGTGATTCTAATTTGTTGGAGTTTACTTATAGGGCTTCTACCTTTTAGATGAGGGCACCCTAGTTGATGCATATTTTGACTTTCAGAAACTTTTTAATTAGGTGTCTCACAAAAAAAGTTAATTTGTACATTCTGTGCTTGTGGAATAGGTGGAAAATGATGAAACAGAAAAAAAGATTAGTTAGTAGCAGAAATTAGAGAGTTGTGAGAAATAGTAATTTTTCAAGTTGTAACAATATAATTAGTGTTTCTTTCATTCACTTGTTTTTAAATATTTGTCATTCATTATTTACGTCATTGATTTGGATTATATTTTTTATGAGTGATATTTCATCATTTAGTAATGGCAATAACACTATGTGAACTAATTATATTGAAAATACTTTTATTCATATAGATTTTGACACCCTTGGTAATGAGCCAGAAAGTGATGAGTAAGTTTTACTTAGGAAATAGTTATAAAGTTGAAAGTTTTAACTTGTACAAGAGGACCATTCCTCATGTTGAGAAAGGAACTGCTTTAGTAGTAATCATAAATGTCTGAAACTTTTTTACAAGTACTTGTCTGTGACACAAATGCTCATGAAAATAAATATTTTATTTTTATTATTATATTTGATCACTTAACAAAAACAGAAAAATTGTTTAATTATTATTTTTAAACTTCTAATAAATATATGACTAGAGAAATCATATAAAATGTGTAAATATTCACATGGTAAATCCTTAAAATTAAATTCTAGGTAATTTATCTAATTTCAATAGTATTTGTCTATTGACTTAAAAATAATATGATATGGCATTTTTAGGGATACAGCAGTCTAATAATAATTAATATATATTAAAAGAGTATCATCACGCGACTTAAATACTACATACTAGTATGCATCATCTTTAATTTTTTAATCTAAATATTCATATAACTGGAATCACCTAAAGAAAAATATGGCCAGAGGAAATATAAGTTATAACTAATACTAACAGCAAATTATTCACAAAGATGTTATCACATTTTAAAGCAACGCCTTTGAAATAGTGTGGGTTTGAGTAATTTGAGCTTTTCTGTGAATTTGGTTACGTGGCCGGCGCGACGCACACCGGCATGGGCTGGAATCACCGGACACGTACCACGGTTTGCAACCACTAGCACTATCGTCCAACACACATCATTACCGTACATAGCATATGGTCCCAAAGTCATAACCCGTTACTTTCATTTTCCGTCACACACACACATACAGTCATTAATTTCAAACTTATACAACACATTCACCCACCATGATGTGATCGTTTGGTAGACCCAATATCTAATTCAGTGTCCAATGTCCTTTTTCTCGAATCTCCAATATCAGACTCAGTACAACCATTAACCTCTCCTAAGTTTGTCGCCATCTTCAGTGCAGACTTTAGCCTTCTGACGTCAAAAATGACGTCATTTTCCTGATTAGCTTGGTCAATGAAACGGTATATTCATGTAATACAAGTAATATTTTCGGAAATAGTTTTCATTCTAATGAGAGTTTCAATTCTGAAAACTAATTTAAGTGACTATTCAATGAAATGTACATCATGAAATTCTCATTTACCTGAATCACACACAAGTCTCCTCCCTTGAAGCATTGGAAACCGGTAGTAACGGGATTCGCACCCTAGGTCATTTCCTGCACTACAATGACACGTATGTGTGTTTCATAACAATACCAGACTAGCTTTCAGAAAAGCATAAAAAACAAAAACAAAGCCAATATATAAGATGTGAAATTCCTTTTTATTTGTTACGATGATAAAAAACTAACTAAAACTATTTAGTTAGTTACTTCACAATAATAGAATATGGTGATGTTCTGCTTCCGAGCCAAATTACCCATACATTATGCACGTGTAGGAATTATCAGACCGTAGAAGCATTGGGTGTGTAAAAATCTTGCAATAAAAATTAGAATCCAATTATAGTTTACCAGACCAAAATCGCTCTGACTTAAATATGCTTTAACAGACTGGCTTTCGCAAAACACCTTAGTAGATGATAGAAAAGGATAATTAAAAAAAGAAAAAACCAACAAGGAACGTTGAAAAATTATTCCCATCATTTTAACTGTGTTTATTAAATAATTATTTGAAAAATAATAACGCCGTGTACGTTTTGAAACCAACAAACCAATTGATTTTAATCAATGAAATATATTTGTATTTGCTAAATTTGCTTTTACATAGAAAAGTTTCATTATATTATACGTATACATCAAACACAGGATATGGCAACTTTTATAAATTCCACAGCATAAAAACACATCACAGTGTACAAAGTTAAATGTTGTAAAATGTAAATAATAAAACTGAATTTCGGTAATAACAAAACACGTTTAGTATTGCATTCCAACTGCAGGGTTTTAACAAATACGCAAAAATTACATATAAAATTCAAGTAATTATTTGTTTACAAAAATGCAAACTTACTTTACATTCTTTATTTCTCTTATTTTTTGCGATATTCATCCTTTTCCTTATGATAGCTGGTTTATTCTTGGAACAATATTTTATTGATCTGATTCTTTCAAACAGCGGGTTAAATAATGTTTTATCATGTTACGTGAAATTTTTAAACGCAGTAACTGCAAAAGTTGGGACAACTTGACCCAATATCTAATTTTTCGGACTCGCAGTCTGAAGGTTGTGAGTTCGAGGCTTGCTCGTGACATGCTATTGCGTCCTTGAGCAAGATACTGTTACGACAGCGGAAGTCACGTGACTCTAGTAACACGTCATGAGATTCTAGAAAGATCATGTCTGCTCGTGAAGCCTCGAGTGTTCTCCAGACGCCCTCTATTTTGTATATGTATATATAAGCCGGCAAATGAAGTGACTGCAAATAGATAATTGAATTGCAGACAGACAGAGACGGACGATTGAGTCAAGCGCGGTAGTAAAGTCGTGAATCGTTGTGAATTATAGCGTGTGTTTATGTTAAAGTGACTGTGGAAATTAAGTGTATTGCAAAGTTGAATTGAGAAATAATAAACTAGTTTTAATTAATGAAGAACTTGTATCGCTAAGTTTTTTTGGAAAGAATTTCTACGGAAAATTAACCAACCACAGAGACGTAACAATACTTTACCCCAATTATTGACTAACTTCTTCGAGATCGTGTGCCAGCCTGTTTAATGTTTAAACTAAATGTTCTTTAATTAACAGGTAACATCGGATTTACCCAGAGCGACTTTTGTAACCGGGCTGCCTTTTCCTTTTGCAATGCCTAGAGATAATACGTTATGACCATGGGAGTAAAGCTGTAATGCTGCACATTGTGCAAGGATCTAGTCAATTGTATCCTCCAATGATAATTCAGGTGATATATCTGGGTTACAACTTTTCTTATGATTGAATAAGAATAACCAGTCAAATGGCCAGAATTCAAAATCAACTTCAATTTAATGACTTTCTTGAACACGTATTATGTGAAAACTGCACATATCAGAGTAACTAATTAATCCCAAAACAATATTATATTAAAAGAAGAAGCTAGAAAATGAATAGTATGTTTATTTACTAAATTTTCATTCATCCCTTATTTCAGGCTTGTCCTCAAGCTGGAAATTAAATTTGATTTTAATATAATTAATCTATACAAACGCCCTAGTCAAGGAGTGCTTTAACTTTCTCTCATCCCTGTAAACATTAAGACGCAACATAGATGACATAGCCCTTTAACAAAGACAATAAATTAAAATTACACATGATGAAATATCTTTTAAAAATGATGCAGTACACATTCAGAAACTCTTTAACAATAATGTGCAATCCAGTCAAAGCTTAACATAATTTAGAATAATAATAATAAAAACTTCAACAAACAGTGCACTATCTGAATGCAAGCCCTTTAACACAGATAAAAAATTAAACATATTAAACCATTTAACAGTTAAATACAATCCCCTGGTTACGTTATAAAATTTACATTTTAATGATAAATCATTGCAATGACACAATATACAAAGACACTCATTAACATCAATAACACAGTACATACCACAATAACAACAACAGTCACAAGAAAAGATATAAAATCAAATTTCAATACATAGTACAGCATTACAGTACTCTTTAACGAGGATCTATTGGAAACTTACAATCACATAAAACAATAAATATTATTTATCATTGGTGCATGAAGCTGCGGGATAAAATGAAGCAATGCGAAATCAAATCCTTTAACAAAGACAAATTCAATATAGAGTTCAACTTAGTACAGCAAGGACAATTTCAACAATTATGTTAAATTGAACCCTTTAAAAATAAACAAAATTGCTTGCATACACATACACTAAGAGCTCTTAATAAAATGACTATGAAATGAACTAGAGACACTAAATAAACCTTCCTACATTGAAGAAAGTTAAACTTACCCTATAAGACAAACCTTCACCAGCTATATGCATATAAACATATGGGATCTCTATGTACAAAAACAAGAACAAAAAACAAATAGAATACAAACGAAATACTTACAGTTTATATATAAATTAAATATATTAAAACAACCCTTTCAATGTGACTACAAAAGTAAAACCCTTTGACAAGTAAAACAACATAAGCATAAGATATAAACGCTTAACATAAATAAGTATGCATATACACCACAGAAGAAAAACAATAACTTTGAGCTGATGACTACATGGCAATAGCAATCATTTCTTTGGTCAACATAAGAGGTTCTTGTAGGTTTAAGCACACTAGAATGAGTAAAACACCACTGGATAATTGAAGAACAAGATAGGCAAAAGGATCAATAACTTGATATTCAATAGTGAAATTTCAGAGAGAACACGTACCTTCAGATGAATTCCAATTGGTCAGAAGGTCAGCCAGACGTGTAGATTATAAAAAGGGTCGTAATTAACTGCCCAGTTACAACCATACCCGTCTCTACCTTTAGAGATAGTATAATTACAGGATTACCTTGGTCAAGCAACATTTCTACAGCGTTCAAATATGCTCATGCCCTATTCACCTAACAACTCTAAATTTTTGGTCCCCAAGCTGCATCTGATGTACATTTGATCAATACTTTTAGTTGTGCTGTCCCCTGTTGCCATTCAGGCCAATAAAGTTTATCCTTCGACCCAAAACCATTCTCTCTGTTACCACCTGGTTATTACATCCATATGTATTACCACTACACATCGTCATATATACTAGTAGCTTAAAACAGATTGCCTCCAACTCATGAACAAACAAGAGCAATCAGAGGGATTGCATACCTTCGCCCCGCCGCAACTTTTTGAAATTCCATACGTTTATATTGGATAACATAAAATGTTACCTTCGCAAACTCAGATCCAGAATGATCAACAATCCGGATCATTTTTTGTAGTGTGATGAGGAGTATCAACCTTAATATGCCCATTAAATTTGGTACAAATCCGATCGCACTTTACAAAGTTATTAATCGAAAACCGCAAAAATGCCCTATCTCCGCATGGTAAGAAATGCTTCAAAGTAATCCGGATCCGGCGTTCGATCCAGAACAAATTTGGGGAAACAGTCCCATTCTGACTTCCCATTTTTTGAAAAAGTTTCGTGTACATCAGTCTATTAGTTTTTGAGATATGCACGCAGAAACACAGCCACATACACACGGACCCGATTGCAATGCCCTCGCAGGGCGAGAGTAATTACCTTGATAATCTTCTCAGGTTATGTCTTGGTGGCTATGGTAAAGTAATGTACTGTCATCTAGGAGTTATCAAATTGATTTTTTCTTTGAGACATCAAAAATAAATATCCACTGGCAGGATTAATCTGAACTAAAACTTTTTAGCTTACATTCTCGTAAGCTAGGATCAGTTTTCGTACTGTTACTACAGTATATTTCAATATACACTTAGGGGAAACACAACTCCCTCTCTGTACATGGAGAAACTATTACACTCTTCAGGTTTACATAGGAAAATCCAGTGACCTACCATGAAGTAAGCCTCACAGAACTCCAACTACTTGGCCAGATCAGGTAAATGATACTCGCAAAAAGTCTGATTACATTTCACCTTAGAAAAATCGCTCAGTAGTCCAGAAAGCAAGACTGGCAAAGTCCTCTCAGCTTAGTTTTTGAATGTTAGCTATCATCTTCAGTTATTCAAACAGATGATCTAGATATTGTATGTACTAGCACCAGCCATCGTAACTTCCAATATCCTAAGTATATCTCTTCAATTGAAACTCAGCTTGGAAAGTAAGGACATGACAGTTCCTTTCAGTCATTTGTCTTTCAATCATATGACCATCCTAGCTGGTAATTGAGTTTAATTACAGCCATATTGATTTGGAGGCTATTAACACAGTCTATCACCTTTAAATCTGGGGCTTCCTCATCTAGGTCGTCCTAAATGACCAGCTGTTTCCTCTTCATCTTCTGTAATGTGATAAAACGGTGCTCTTGGCCTCCTCTGACTCCTCCACTGATTCCTGGTCAAACCAGTTCAATAGAAGTTCATTGGTAATGTATGGACACAACTGGTTAATGTGTATCATACACTTTCGCGTGCCTCTCGACTGCTATAACTCATACATTAATGGA